TACAAAGCATCCCAACCCTCCACGCTTGCTCTACGAATTTCATACCACTTCGGTATGATATGTGGGACCGGAAAATCGGGTGACATGTCTAATCGGATAAAATGTCTGTATGACGGCCCAAGAAATCCAATAGCAACGTCCCTTACCGGTCTAGTGACGGTCTCGCGCGAACACCAGGGCAGAACCGTTGTACATGGATAATAGGCTCGACTATGTAAACCAAGGCCGAAATGCATGACTGCACACTTGTAGATGTTTGCAACGGCAAAGAGATCAAGTGGCGCATCGAACCAATGATTTTGATCGCAAGGTCCCCCTCCCCACCGGATACGCTGCAGAGACCTATCCAAGTCCTCGCCGTACACATGGCCATACACATCTCGGTTTGATGCGATTTCACTGTACATCAACTGCCGCACTAAACCGTAGTTGTCTTCACCCATTTGAAACACATCCGCCACAACCCGAAATCCGCAGTTACCATCTGCAATGACATCATTCCACCCGTCCAAGAATGGCATCATGATATTAGGGATCCTGTCCTTATATGGAAAATGTTCAATGTCCATTCTCCCTGTTACACACATCAATAAACACAATAAACAAGTCAACAGTAAACTAATCAAACAGTCAACAAAAGAAATTGAAGTCGAATGTCTTACCGGTGCCGGGCATATTCACCGACGACGATGATTGGCTGCCACTTGATGAGGATGTACGACCACGGCCACGGCCACGGCCACGACCGCGAATGTACTCAAACGCACTCTTGTTCCGCCGTGGTTGTCGACCCCTAGGTCGCTCGACCCCTTCCGGTTCCTCGGTATCCAAACACGATGTATTGAACATGTCATGAAGTATGTGTGTAGCACTACGAATGATCGAAGGGTGACTGGAGGACACTTGGTCAAACATCAACTGAAACTGCTCCAACTCCTCCTGTTCACGGTGAACCGTATGCGGAACAGCATGCTCTCCGATAACGAGAGTCCGCCAGAATGGATGAACCTGATCGACATGTAACGACGCCCTGTCTTGCGTAATTACGCGGTGAATGGTGCATGCACAAGGTAATCCATGAGTCACTGATATAGCACATCCGCACCGAATAGCCACTTCATCGCCCAACTCCCTCATCCTGGTATACTCGCTCAGAATCAACCCCAAACAGTGGTGTGACACACGACCGTGGAGAATCTTAAATATGAAATGGCCATACAACATGCCATGTCGTCGTCTGGAGTCCTCGAGATAGTTCTTGATGCCGTTCCTCTGAGTATCAATAGCCTTGTTTATTCTCTCGAACAGTGTATCCAGAGCAGCCGTGGAAGAATCAATCCAGTCCTTCAAAGCTCTATGAGCGCTCTCGACTCTGCATGTCGTAGTGTTCCCAAAATGAAGAACTTGGTTCGTCCAATATTTGACAAACTTGGTTCGTCAAAATGCGATCCATTCTACCATCCCGTTGAGATTTATGAGTTGCTACTACTAAACAAAAGCCTGATCTAATTGCAACCTGTTTTGCCCAATCAATCGCTTGTTGAGCATCTTCGAACAGGCCATCATGTACAAAAATCCCACTGTAATCATTTCCGTCTCCACCATAATCCTGTAACAATAACATATAACGTATAAATATAATTACATTAAAATTTCTAAATATCATTTTTATATTTAACGCATAATACATTTAAAAAACAAAATAATAACACACATTTCATTTCAAATTTATCAAACATAAATAAACAAACAAATTAAAAAATAATAAAAAAAAAAAAGAAAAACAAACAAAAATAAAAACAAACAAACAAATAAAAAATAAAACAAAAACAAAACCAAAAAAAAAAAAAAAAAAAAAAAAAAAGGGGATTAAATTAAAAAATAATAAAAAAAAAAATATATTCCCCTAGTGGCGCCTGGCCAGGACGCCGGAGCCACGGCCAGGGCGCCTGGTCAGGACGCCGGAGCCACGGCCGGGGCGCCTGGTCAGGACGCCGCCGCCATGGTGGCGGTGTCCTGGCCAGGCGCCCTGGCCGTGGCTCCGGCGTCCTGGCCACGCGCCACTACCATGGTCGAGGCTTCTCCACCAGGCGCCGTTACCACGGTGGCGGCGTCCTGGCTAGGCGCAACAACCACGGCATGGCCTTTTGGCTAGGCGCCAGCCACCATTTCGTCCTTACGATGCGTTACGAACCTCGTTTTCCGATGACGACGGCGATTCTCCGGTGATCCTCGGCGATCCGGTGCTGCTCCACATTTTTTTAGTGCGAAAAATTTATCTTCGGTTAAAATTATAAAAAGGGCAAATTTGTCAAAAAATTATAAAATGTGGGCTTTATGTAGAGATTTGCGGGCGATGAATAACAAGTCCCATACTCTAATGTATCTAGTCATACTTTCATGCTTACTTATGTTATAAATACTCTTGTATAATCATCAATATAATCAAGCTTTTTAACATTCTTTTTCTCATAACTTTATCACCCCCAAGACCCAAATATGTATTGCTAATTTTTTTTTTTTTCCTAGCCTCTCGGCTTGAGCATAGTCCGCGTAGAACATGACATGAAAAAAAAAAGGTTCAGTCTAGTTTTCTACTCTTGAATTTAGCATATCAAGAGTGATTCCTGTGATTGTATTGTTGTCTTAATTTTCAAAAAAGGTTCTTTGTTACTCTAATAATCTATAATTACTAGCTATCTTAGAGGAAGCAATTACATTATGGAATTCATCTTGTTTGGTCTAATACTGAAAACTAAAGTAATACAGTTGCCCACTTCTTAGCTAATCTTCGATTTACACTTTGTTTGGATAGAAAGAAATGAAAGGAAAAGAAGAGAAGAGAAGGGGAGGAGGAAAAATTCTTTTGTTTGGGTAAAGGATTGGGGGAAGGAAGGGAAGGAGATGGAGGAATCCATTTCCCCTCTCTCTTTAACAAGCATAATCCCTCCAAAATTGGAGAGTTTTGGAGGGAAAATAAAGTTCACCTCCCCCTCTCTTTCTTTTCCCTTCCCTTCCTCCTTTTCCCCTCCCCTTCCTTACCTTCCTTCTTTGCTATCCAAACAAAACGTTAGTGATTTTGATGGATAGGTTTGGTTGGAGGATGGTTATGAAAGCGTATAATTAACACAATAGCTTCATATATTTGTATGTAATATCCATGAATAAATTCTCCCTTCTACAACTTGTAATCATTTTTTAAAAATTATCGCACAAAAAATAGAATACAGAGTACAAAGCTAAACTAATATATTAAAAGACGTTCATAAAAACGTTGATGTGCCACGTAGTCCCTTATTTTTGTTGCGCCATGTCATTTTCCCAACATCTCATGACGCCACATCACGCAAGCAACCAACATTACTCCACATAAAAACATAAGGTTAAGGAGGATTGAACCCTCAACCTCTTATAAGAAAGATAACTATTCAACCATCTAAGCTAATTATCAATGATGTTATTAATATGTAAAAATCATTTATATAACTGCAAACTATAGGGTTCAATTATCAAAAAATAAAAATAAAAAAATACTCAAAGAATAATTCAATTTTAGTTTGACAGTGACAATTACAGTTTTGAAAAGCCTTTAAAAATTTTGTCGATTGCACGTCTACAACAGTAGAACATTAGTTTTATAAATTACTAATTGTGACAAAGTTGAGATATCAACTTCAATAAGACTACTTTCAGGTAACGAAAAAAAGAAAACGTCTCTTATTTGTCAAAATTGGTAATAAAAAATGAAAATAAATTTACTAAATTTAACACTTTAGAAAGTGAAATTTACATTATCATCATCAAATTTTAATTTCTTGATTAGTATCATCATAAATCTTTTATAACCTTTTGCTCTCTTGGAGTGTACGTACGCAAATAAACCCCTCGACAATCAATTTACATTAAATAAAAAAAATGACCTCTACATTATATTTTATGTAGCTTGATTGTCTAAAATCATTCAAATCCCTCACCAATTTGGAAATAAAAAGGAAAGGAGTGATATATAGTTTTCTCATAATGAATGATCAATACGAAGTACTTTGTAATTAAACAATTAATGAAACATGCGACAATTAAAAAAAAAAAACCTAATTAATGAAACATAAATAATAATTGTAGTTACTTGTAAAAAAAAATTGTAATTAAAAAAAGGGAAATTGTTCCATGTACTCCTGAGGTTTTAAAAAATGACCCCTGAAAATTTTCAAATGCACCATGTACCCCGAGGTTTGTAAAAAAAATGCACCAAATACCCTAATCCCATAACAAATGCACATATCATTGACTTATCAAACTAAAATTATGCCCACATACTGACTCACTTTAGTATTTTATATTTATGTAATAAAACCGCCTAAAAACATAAATTACATCAAAATTTGTACTCCGCGGATCATTCTAAATCCTAAACTTTTGGGTGTTAGAATTTGGTTTATTAATTAAGTTTATTTGATAATTAAATAGTTTAGCATTATAGTAGCATTAAACTGTAATAATTTACTGAATTTGATACTTATGGGGTCTCAATTTAACAAAATTAACATTTATTGTGAGTTTAAGGGTATTTGGTGCAAGTTTTTACTAACCTCAAAGGTATATGGTGCATTTAAAAGTTTTCAGGGATACATTGTACATTTTTAAAACCTTAGGGATACATGAAACAATTTTCTTAAAGAAAAACAGAAAAATTCAAATTAATCTCTGAGATAAAATCTGTAAATATATCTCTTCTCACAATATATATATATATTATAATAAAAATAAAATCATAAAGTGACACAAAAATCAATGCATGAAGTTGTGACTCTCCTACAGAGTAGATAAATTAAAATGTTAACCTGACTCCTTAAAAAAACAACCATGAACACCATAAAATTTACAAAACACAAGAAGTCAACATAGTTGAAATTCCCTCCAAAAATCATCACCAAACCCAAACACATCCACCTCACTCCGACCCCACAAAACATTACAATTTACAATTACATCACACCTTCTAATTTCCGCTTTATTACATTATTCTTTCCTTTCCTCCAAAAAAAAAAAACCCCACAAATAATTTCAAACTCTCTCTCTTTCTCTCTCATCAAAGAATGCCCCAAGTTGATCTCGCCTCAGTTTGCGCCGGCGTCGCACACGACCGCAAAGTCACCTGCGAAACCACAGCCGACGATTCCACGGCGGAGGAACCGATCCCACCACCGGATTACGCGCCGGAATCATTCTGGCTCTCCAAAGACGCCGAACTCGATTGGCTCGATCGCAACGCATTTCTCGACCGGAAAGATTCCGGCAAAGGTGGGCCCAACTCTAATTCCAGTAGCCTAAACCCGGTTCATGTTTCCGCCGGTTCACAGCGTTATTCGGCGAATTTGAAGTCAAAAGCGTCGTTAATCGCTCTTCCTAAACCGCAGAAACAGAATTACGCTGAAGTGAAAAACCGGCGACATTGTCGGCCGTCGAGCGTGCGGCTGTTTCCGAAACGGTCTGAACCGGTCGGGAAACCGGTGACGGAACCGGGTTCGCCGAAGGTTTCTTGTATGGGAAGGGTGAAGTCGAGGAAAGGGAGTAGAAGTGGGAAGAACCGGAAGAAGGTAATCGAACCGGGTTTGGTTAGGAATAAGAGTGTAAAGGAAAGGAAACCCGGGTTTTGGAAGAATTTCCGCTCTATCTTCCGGTCCAAAGGGGGTAATAAATTAGATGTACAACTTCAACGAGGAGATGATGAGGAATTTGTTGGAGTGACTAAGAGGAATAACTCCAACTCCAAGAAAAAACGCGGGTTTAATTCGAATAATTGCGACGGTTTGAGTGAAGCAGGATCGGTTCAACCGTCCGGTTTAGGGGGAATGAAGCGGTTTGCTTCGGGCCGGAAATCGGATAGTTGGGCCGGTGACGTGGAGGTTGACGGGGCGAAATCTGAGCCGTTGGATGGTGGTCCGATCTGGCGGCGGAGAGAGGTGGGCCCACCTGTAGAGGTAGATGTGGATCGTGATTGGCGGGCGGTGGGACCCATGTCTGTATGACGTGGGAGAAGGTTAGTGGGTCCCTTTTTGATAGGGTGACGTCAGGATTTATATATATACACGTCAAAATTTATGAGCTTCAAAAATTCGAGTGTTTTTATATTTTGTTGGGTCATTTTTGACATTGGTGTAATGGTGTGTGTCGTTGTTGTTTCAACTTCACGTCTGAGTTTTTATATATGTTCATACTTTAGGTTATAGGATTTTTCATATTTTTAGTGACATGGTTGAAGAATTTTGTTATATAGTTTGTATATACAATTTGTGATTTCTTCTTCTATATAGAGTTCATGATCTTTTTAATTTACTTTTTGATCAAAAATAGTTATCACGATAAATTAAGATGGATAACTGGAATTGTTGTAACTCAAGTACTCGACAACACTGAATGTTAGGACTTGGGAGTCTTAAGCGTGTGAATTTGAAATTCATGTAAACTTATCAATCTTGCTTTTTATAGATAAAACTTTAGACTTGGTTAATCATATATCGCATCAGTGGTGGTTTCAAAAAAAATTTCTTATGGGTTCGGAGTCAGTCAACATAGATAAAATAAAATAGCATAATCTATAATTTAAAACGTAATATATTGTAACTAATTATATGGGTGTACACATAAAAAAAAAAAAAAAAATTATACGAAGTACAAGTAATTAAATTTTCAAGTGTAAATATGCAGTGTATAATCATCTTCATTAACTGCAAGTAATTAAATTCTCAAATATAAATTTATGATCTTCAATTATATTAGCATCAGAGGTAAATCAGCCGCTGGGCTGTTGGGCGCAATGTTGTATACCTATCTCACTGTATTAATCTTAATTAATGTTTGAAAAAAAAAAATAAACTAACCAGATTTTTTTCGGATCCAGCTGAACCCATACTGGAACCGCCACTGTATCGCATTATCCATAATACATAGGCTCATACCGCTCATTATTGATAATACATAAGTTCTCTATATTTGTTAGCTCAAAAATTGGATAAACTTGTGATATCATGGAGTTCTACAGGTCCACATATAGCTTGTTAGAATGCATCAAGTATTTTGATCAATTTTTCCAACCTAATCTTTGCTCGATTAAGGTCGTGCTTGGTAGTAAGCGATTAGCTGTTAGTCATTGTTATTAGCTTTATTGGGTGCAATATTAGCTGACTTTACTAACTAATTGCATAAGATGTTTGGGTAAAAGTAGCTATCTAATGTGTATAAATCAGATAGGTTCAGAGGGACCAAATGCAGCGGGCAAACGACATTGCTAGGAACTGACGGTTTACGCTTTCTAATTATGTATAGTTCTTAGGGGTATTCTTATTTACTATTGTCAAAAAAAAAAAAAAAAAATCAGATAAATATTTGGCTTTGGTTATGACTTTTTCAAAAAAATTAAATGTTTGTTTTGCTCAAACGTTGACCATTTGGTGAACTAACTACTAACATCTCTCATGTACTACCAATTGATAAAATAAATATCTTAAGGGGTCGTTTGGTTCATTAGGAAAGGGAAAATTCTCATGAAATTTCAATTTGTAAGAATTAAATTTCTTTATCAATATTATGGGAATTCATCAAATGGGGGGGGGGGTTGGGTAAGTTAATTCCCATGTTTTGAGGGAAGTTAAAATTCCCATGAATTGTTATTGGCCCCATTTTTACCTTTTTGTGTCAACCAAACAACAAGTCCAAAATGAAATTTAAGGCAATTTTGAATGCCTATAAGAAATTAAGCCAACCAAACAACACCTAACAATTGCTCCGTGTTATTTAGTCAAATAAGTTTAGTGAATCAACTACTTCCTCCGTTAACATTTAGTTACAACATTTTGACCAAAGGATTATTGCAATTAAAAAGTAAAAAGGGGAAGGAGTATATTACAAATGATAGCTCACAATATTATCTTCACCATTATTTACAAACAAACTACTTCATATCATATTTAAGAATTTCAAATGTGCATTTCATATAATAATTTGGTACATTAGTCTAATGTTATATTACATTGACCCAATTTGGTGAGTTTTTAAGCATGCATATTTTCATTCATGTTTCTAAAAATAATTATGCTTTTTTTCTCACGGATAGACAGAATATTTAGGGCAAATTTGACATCTCCACCAATTTTTAATTGTTTGTGTAGACTATAATTATCTTTCATACGAGTATGAGTTTGAAATTAGTCATGTTAATTCCTAAAATTGACAAGAGTGACAGCAATAATATAAAGTAGAAGCCGAAACAACTAACTTTAATAATTTCTAAATTAAACTTGAATTGAAGGCGAAAAAAACATGAAAATTTAAACATTATTGTACTGTTAAAATACATGTGATTGATGTGAATATTACTAATCTTTCAGTGGCAAAGGAGGCTCTAGCCAAAGGTTTATGCTGAAGACAAATTTGTCATTTGTCTACATGTCAGTGACGTCACTATGTCAACAACCTTTGTGCAAGGGTATGTGAATATGTGATAATGTGAACAATTACTACTCCGCTTAACACAATTTTTTGTATGCGGTCTACTGTACTATGCGGCCAGCTTAGATTACGGGTCCAACATTTTTTAAGGCCAAAAAAAATAATGGGCCCCCATTTCTAATCCCGTTTTTCGTTTTTTTTTTTTATCTTTTTTGTTTTCCTCTTCTCACTCATTTTATTTCCCTTCTCATGCTTTCCTCTCTCCTACCTTCCATGAAGATGATTTCTCTCTCCTACCTTCTATGAGGATGATTTCACTTTTTTATCTTCTATGAGGATGATTGGTACAACATACAAACAAATTCATATAAGAAATTTACACAAAGAGCAAGTAATTTGAAAACCCCCAAATCGATTTTTGGGGTTTTTACGTGCGATTTTCGGCAAAATTTTCAAGCAACTCCGCAACAAAAGCATAAAAACGAGATTGTTGGGTTTCTGGGTTGATTTGGTGGAGTTGGGGTTGTTCGTCCTCGTTATCTTCTTCGGCACTATTGGAGTAGCTTTGAATGAGATCTATTGAAGAAGAAGATGAAGAAAAGGGATTACTTAGAAAATGGGTTAACTTTTGAGGGGTTACTGGTATTATTGGTTACTTGAAATTAGGGATAATTTATATTATGGATTACTTGAAATTAGGGGTTACTTTTGTTAAAAAAATATATATCAAAAAAAATAAATAGGGGTTACTTATAATATGGGTTACTTGTTTTTGTCTTCTATTTTGGGTATGTTATAAAATGGGTAACTTGAAATTAGAGGTTACTTAAAATTAGGGGGTTACTTATAATATGAGTTACTTGAAATTAGGGGTTACTACTTGAAATTATGGGTTACTTGAAATTAGGGGTAAATTAAGGGTTACTTGAAATTAGGGGTTACTTATAATAGGGGTTGCTTGAAACTGCGCATGAGTGTCAGACTCCTTTATGCACGTCAGACTTCGTTATTTTTACTAAGTTGGTAGTAGGCCACACAGTGTGGCTTGCTGCACCAAAAAGGTGATGTCCATTTAAACAATAGTTATTCTCACACGCTTCCAAACTTACAATATCCTCACAATTTTCGTGCTTTTACAAACCAATATACATACTCTATTAGAATCATGTGATTCGGAGATGTTTTTACATGCATCTGGATGCACATAAAGTTATGCGTGCTCATCTAAGGTTATATTACTAACCATATCCGAATACATTTAAGTTTAAGAAACTTCATATGACTTGAATAAGATTCAACTTACAAAGGCAGATAAATAGAATTTGATCCTAGATTGTTACGTATTAACATGTGTAAATTTTGCGAATTAAGCTAGTTAAAGGTGACATCTTCTATTATTGAGATGCACAAATGAGATATCTTGGCTCGCAACCAAATCCGCTAACTAGTAACTACAGACCAAAGTGGTTTATTAAAAGCTAACTGCCATGCATTTGGAACTAATCCTAGATCAAAATGATTAGCATGTAATACAGTTGTTTTATACAATATAGTATCTCCATGATAGATGTTTATGACTATGAAATCCTAACTAGTGGCTACTACACCTGATATCAATTATTTAAGCTTTACCAATCATTCAATTTTTATTGTTGTAATTAAATATTTAATTTCCCTATTAGGAATTCATTACATAATTAGCAGTTTTGGTCTGTTTTAGGTGTAATATTATTCCTAAGATCAATTCTATCGTGTAATGGAGTAGATGTTACAAGGATCCGAAATTCTTTATACTACTTGTACATGTTGGACGGTTTGGTAGTTGATTGTGCTTTCTGTCAATTGTAGAAAATTTAATTTAAACTAATATATATATATATATATACATTGAATAGTAACTAATAATATCAGCTAATCATTCAATTAAGATATATAATGTTATATGTAGCCCTTAGGGCTACAAATAAGCAAATAACTTTCCTTATTTGGTATAAGTTTAGAAATACGTGACAAAATCACGTGCGTATCAGTGTAATTAATGAATATTTTTATTAAAACTTTCCTCTTTTAGCTTCTTATACATACAACATTTTCTTTATTATTTTAATGCAAGAAATAGCGAACATGTAATTGATCAACGCCTGAACTTTATGGATACAACAAATTCCGGCATGTATTGATATTACTACGTAAAAAAGAAAAATGTATTAAAAGTAGTTTCTCACAAAACATAAATAAAATGTTGTTTCTCATAATTTTTCAATACAATTTTAAAAAAAATAATAATAAAAATTAAAAAGAGGAAGAAAAAAAGAGTCGTGCGTACTAGATCTTTAAAAATTTGTCTTGCTAGCTAGACAAGCCCCATTTAACAAATGCTTAAAATAACTAAACCTCATCATATGTTTCGACCTTTCTTCCGTTTAATGGTTGCACGGGCCGTGCATTGTTCTTGTTTTCTTCACAAAGAGGAGCACTTAGTTCATCCACTTGTTCCATTGAAATTGTTTTAGCCTATAACAATTATATCGAAATTTTGTTATAATATGCATGTATATAGCGATAAATTTTTAACTTAAACGTACATGTATAAATTTCTATCTTTACGAATTTAGTTGTCATGATACTAATTCAAATTAAATTTGTCAATAACGTGACTATGATTTCAAGTAAAAAGTACGGGTGTACTTTTTCCCCCTAAAAGAGTATAATAATAAATAAGTTCGATAATTCTTGTTTTTTTTCTTCTAAGTTGACGATAATAATTAAAATGTATTTATATACCTCGCAAAGCACATTCCAAATGACATTTTCATCACAAGGAGGGGAAGTGTGAGAGCCAAGATATCGATAATAATCGCGCGGCCATTTCCTCAAGAAGCTCAAATCAAACTTTGGGATGTCAATCCTTTGTTCTGTACAAGGCTTCTTAGCTAGTTCTTGCAATTGGGGCTTTAACTAAAACAAGAAAAAAAAAATTCAAATCCGACAATTGTACAAGATTAAAATAACAAATTATTTTTTTATTATTATTTTTTTTTTTTTTTTTTTTTTTGTGTGTGTGTGTGTGTGTGACATGAGCTTTAGCAGAATAAACAAATTGTTAAATCTACATATTCTTCTATACGTATATATAAGTATGTATATTACGTATTATTCTTTTAAATAACACAGCTATGTTACTGAATTATAAGCCATATCTGATTGAATGTCACTCTAAGACATTAAAATTTAATACTAAAAATATCATTTGAAATTTAAGTAACAATGATCACATCTCAAGCATACCATAACATCAATGCAATCTATACTATTACGAGTAATTCTTTATTTTAGAAAGTGGTATACTTTGTATTACATTTTTAAAAACTGACTCACTTAAAGTAGAAATGTAGTCCTTCGTATATGATACGAAGTAATAGTATTAAAAAACAGATGGAGCATAAATTAATAGAAATCGAGAAATAAAAAAATTTTGTGGATTAAAAATGACATAACATTAGACATGCATGATTGCTTATTCTTCCTAACCGACGCAAGTGAATGTTGGCTTGATTATGGACCATATATATATACTCGTATGAAGTTATTAGGAAAGTGCTGATTTCTGATGATAATAATGCAAAGGGACATGAGAAGCATGGTCGTGTTTTCTTTGCTATTTGGAAACATTCATACAAAAATTATTTCTTCATTAAAATTTTCACAAAGGTTTCAATTTATTGCGTATGTCATGCTCTTGTTCTAATCAGTGGAAGACCCATGTGATTAAGACTAAAATTTTTTAGACCACTTATCGATTAATAATTAAGACTTTGTCTGGCTTAAAATTTTGTTAAAAACTATTTTATCTGAATAGAACTTATTTAAAAGTATTTAAACTTATTTTGTTTGAATTTATTATGTTCCAAATAAAATTATTCTATTTAGAATTATCTATAAATGACTTAAAATACCATGGATCATAGCGGCCCTAATTAAGCTATGTTTGGTAAGGTGTACAAAAATTTCTTTTATTACTTCTTCCGTGTTTATATACTACTAGATAGTTCCCGAGCATGCTCAATTTTTAAAATTATGATAATTGAAATCTAAATATAGAAATTTATAGCAAAATGTAATTCAAAAGTCCATTACTTATCTTATCTCATTTAACCTTTATTTATACAAAGCACATCGTATGAAATAATAACCTTTTCCCTTAATTTAATGTTGGAGTTACTTGGTTTTAATTTAGTATCCAAATAGAAAAGTTGAAAATTTAAGATTTTACTTGTATTAAATTTTTTACATTTGAAAGGAACCTAACAAATTCTCATATTTGTTTAATTTTATTCTTATTAGTTAAATGTATTTTAATTTAACCGCATGAATGGTAATAAGAGACTAATTAAAAAATTTAAGTGGTGTGCTTACCATGTAAATGAAAGGACTAGGTGGTCCATACTTGAATAGAATCGCCACCACTGCTCGGCTGCCATCGGCGGCTTCATGTATCTGCTGTAGCTCTGCAGCATATCTTACATGGTTCATGCAAATTAAACATCCAAATTTGATTAGCATAATATAATTATACAAGTACATAAGAAAGAATTTTTTTTTAATAAAACCAGCTATGTTTGTGTTTAATAATAATAATAAAAAAAATATGTTATGTCCTATTATACAATACTTAGTACTTTAGTATTCCGTAGTAAGTTTTGGGTGAAACAATCTCAATTCTCACATTATTTATTGTAGGTTGTAAATATAGGGCGTAAAAAAAGTAATACAACACATGTGTTGGGCTATTATGGCCCTTTTTTTAGGAATGTATCCCAAAAATTTTAAAGTCCAATCAATGTCTCATGGTTTCTAAAAAACTCTACCATGTTGGTTTATCAATGATAAAATTGTACTGTGGAGAATAATTTCTAAAGTATATGGGTAAATTTTTCTACACACTTTATCCACCACCATAAATCAAGTATAAAGATAAGACGTTAGACATGATTTGGAAGTGATCCATCATATCCTTCTACCCATTCCTTTCCAAATACAATTCCTTTCATACAATGCCTAATTGCTTCCCTATTTACTCTTTTCAATCTCTAATCTCCGTTAGCAATTGGATTTGCGATGAAATTCCTATAGTAAATTATATAACCATTCCCCTCCTAATAGATACGATATATAGCAAAATGAGATTATTTGTATTTGACTAATTAGCAAGATAAGATGGTTTATACTTCAAGCAAAATAAATAGAAATGAGCAAATATGGCTTACGGGACACTGTTAAAACGATGCTCAGATGGAGTATGAAACAAAAGTTGCGTCAAATTGTACGTCTTTCCATATATTTTCAATCCTCCACTCCCACCTAAAGATATCTGCATTATGCATACGCATTTTGATTTCAAAATAATTTCTTATAATTTATGCACATATAAAAAAAAAACTGCAGCCCTACCATAATAGCAATATTTTATGTCACAATTCTAAAAAGTTCATCCTTTATTGATTTAAATTAGCAGTGACTGTGATAAAAAATATATAGCGGGTAATATTCTTTTACATATAGATCGAGAGATCAAAAGTAACAAAGTGTTAAATATAGGAAAATTTATGATATCAGTCTTATTACTTTTGACTACAGAAATTATTAGGTTGGTACTGAATATAATAAAACAGAAATTTTATGTAATAAAGCTTGTACATATACGATATTAGAGTGTAATAATATATTTACTTGTATTACACAAAAAAAAAATTAATAAGGAAACTCTCTATTCTTTTTCTCTATCTCATTTCCAATTAATATTGTTTTATTCATCATTTTTGATTAATTTCTGCTAGTTTTATCAACAAGTGTTATGTTGTGTCAAGGGTGTAGAACATAAAAAATAATATGATAAAAGACCTTGATTAAATAAAAATGACCAAATTCAAATTGAAGCAGATTAATGTGATCTGTTGTATTTTTTTTTTTTTTTTTTTTTTGAACTAAGATTTCTATTTTCATACGCTTAAGATTTTGTTCGCTCTCTTGCAACAGAAATGTTGAAGAGGGTTTATTCTGTCCAAAATGTCTGAAAAAACATGATTACAAGTTGTGTATGTGTGATTACCGCAGCGCAATGAGGTTTTAATTCTTAATTTGGAGTAAAAAGAAGTAAAACCGGGCAAACAATGAGCTTCCAAGGAATGTGGTTGCGAATACAGCTGGTTATTGGGTAGGGTAGTCCTATGATAGTAGGGTCAGGGTCAAGGTTAAAGGGCTTTTAATGGATAGGGCCTTTAACGGATAGGGCCCTTATTAGGTAGGGTCAATGTAGGGCCAAAATGTTTTTCCAATAATAAACAAACAAAATAGATAATGTAAAAATAATTACATAAATAAATTTGTATTCATATATACTTAATAATGGCTTTGTTCAATATTTATTTTAATTGATATTTTGTTGGCCCGCTCATTATCGACCCGCGATCCGCATGGGCCCGACCCGCTATTAACCCTATAAAATATGACCCTCTTTGACCCAACCCACAATTGACCCGCACCGACCCTGACCCGACCCGCCCAATAACCAGGTCTAGTTGCCAATAGAGGGTTATTCTTCCTGCTATAGTATACTCTCTATACCATAAAATTCATTCCACCATTCATTTAAAGTTGTCGTTTCATAAACTAGGTATTTTATTTTGCTCATGCTTTATTCTAATATTTTTTCAAATAAAGACAGTAATATTATTTCAACTTAATCCAATTTATTTGTGAATTGTGATGGTAATTTTCGTATTATCGATTTATATTTCTCCCCAAAAAGTAGTTACAAATTACATTATTTATAACAAGGGGGAAGAAGCAAGTTTGTGGGAGTAATTTATAAATCAATAAGTGAAAGAACTAGAAGAAATGACTTAGGAAATTGATTAAGATTAACCTCCAAATGTTTGCCATCAGTAACAAATGTAGTGTTGTGAGCAACATGAAAATGGTATTCTCTTTCAAGCGGTTCTAAGGTTTTGTTGAGTATAGCAAAATATGTGTTGATATCTACTGGAGATTGCCTCTTACCCGACGAGCACACTGCAAAATTTACAATTAAACTTTACGTTAATACAATCATTATTTGACTACATATATTTCCAACCAATTGAACATTAACAAAAAAACTAGGTATAATTTGTGCGATATATATGCTTGTAAGGGGTGCGGGGTAAAAGGAAAAAGATTAATAATGAAACTTATGTGGCACATTCTCTTCAAAATGTGTCGTTTTTGTTTCCCTACATGTTATATATATAAAATTAAAAATATAGAAATTGAGAAAAAAAATTCCGAATATTATAGTATAATAGACTATTCACGGACTAAGGAAATCTTGATGAGTCTCCACATGTTAGTCAAGGGTAAACATTCTTATGGTGTCCATTTCTGTTATCTTGCTTTGTGTGAGATTTAAACATAATCGACATACTGCATCCAAACTTAACCAATTTATAATTTAGATTACATTCGCAATCTCAATATTTCAGATATATATAACTTGAACTACCCTAAGTAGGTTATATACTTAATATGTTATGCTTTTTAAACTTTGTCTTTTCCCTATAAAATATTCAAAGATTAATGCAATTAATGACAACATTGCCAAAATACACATTTGTTTGTAAACATGCAAGAGTGCTAACAAAAATAACTCAGTACCTGCGGGATGCCCTGAGGCAAGGGCACCTATGAACAAGAAGGAAACACCAAAGAAGAAGATCAAGATAGAATTGAATGCCATTGTAATGTGACTTTTGTTCAAAAATGACAAACAAAACTATTTAATTACCAACTTAATTTTGAGAAGTTTTGTTCTCATAACTTTGTGGATTTGGTTTCTGGATTTTCTCCACCTTTCGTATATTAAACTATTGTTACTAGATGATAGGAGATATAGCTAAACTTGGCTAGTTAATCCCTAGAAAATCTAAAAGCCAATCACATATTCAATTTTTAATAATATTGCTTACTAATAATATTGTGCTTAATTGATCAAAATTTGATGGAATTTTTGTTAATAATTATTTTTAACTAATTAAAAATATGCTATTTATAGAAATGATGTTCCTTATTGATGAAGTATAATACACATTTCTGGGTTTCAACCATCAACTTAAACTTTTAGTTGAATTGATACTCTAACATTTAGAAGCAATAGTAATTAATCATCTTGGTCAAGAAATTCAAAAAAGGTAACAAAAAGAGAGAGAGGGAAAAAAAAAAAATCAAAGTGGTATGATGATTAAGAAAGAATATAATGCACTCTGCTCATTCTTTTTTTTACTTATCTATTATTCAAGTAAGATTTGCTCCTCAGATTAGTTGTTGCAGTAGGTGGTAACTGTGTGAGTAGATATTCTATTGCCTAAACATAATACAAAGTAGATAACTTGTCAGAGTCACTCAAAGCCGTATATTCAAATCAGGCATTTCAACAATTTTTTCACCTTGACTCGTACTTAATTTAAATGACAAAAGTTTGCACCTATTTTTAGGAAGAATTGTGCATAGTATATAGAAAAGAATAAGTTAATGCGTGAATGTGATTGAATGGACCTATTATGAAATAAATGATGTGTTTGGTTTACATAAATTACTGATTAATAAAGGTTGAGAAAACAATAATAAAGAAAATAAACAAAGAACACAATAACTTACGTGATTTGGTCAATTAGCCTTACTCCCATAGTCCATATAAGTGGGGTTTTCGAGATATTTTCTTCACTTTAATGGAGAAAAACCAAAGGAATATCAATGATTCTTTTTATGGCTTGATTAACCTAAATCTCATTGGTTCCTTTTACTGTACAAGGAATGAGGAAACCATTGTAAACTCTTTAATCACCCGCTTTCACTGTATTTGTACATTTTATGTTTAGAAACTTTGGTTAATGGTTTAATACGTACGAAAAACTATAGTGAGGAAACTTGTATGGCATTCAAGTGGTCATTTTTGGTCTTGAACCTATTCTTTATTTGGGAATGTGATACAGGAGGTAGTGTGAATGAGAATGATTGACGAGAGAAGGTGCATGAATGGTGAGCTGGCAGGTGTACTTTGTCTGTTAGAATGAAATCAGTCAGTTGTAATGCTGTAATATTCTCTAGGTTGTTAGAGTTTGTTATGGCGAATATTTTGTGTGGCTAGGATTAGCTTAATCTTTCTATCTATAGTTGCCTAAGTTGTTGAGCTGAGGTTATGAATAATATAATTCTCGTTCTCCCCTCTCTCTCCTATCTATCCTTCTCATTTTCTGCTAGTACATTACTATATTCAATCTTATAATCATCTAGTACCGTATCAGTGGTATCAGAGCTGACCGTTGCCTTTTTCTCTGATCATTCTGGCCCTTACACTGACTGTCAGAGTTACTTCAATGGAAGCTCGGCTAGATGCGTTGGAGCACAAGTTGGAAATACAGAATACTTCAAGTGCACAGAAATTTGATGATTTAATACAAATGATGCAGCAATTAAAAGAAAGCATAGCTGACCCTAGAATTTAGAGGCCAGAAGAAAGAGGTAGTACCCCCAGACTTGGATATAATCCTAAGATTGAATTTCCGAAATTTGATGGTAGTAACCCTAGGGTGTGGATTAAAAAATGTTGCAAATACTTTCAGTTGTGCAAAATACCTGATAAACAGAAAGTAGATTTAGCATCATTAAACATGACCAGTAAAGCTGAGTGCTGGGTCACTAGCTATTTGGCTACTAGAACATCTGTGGATTGGAATGATTTTGTGTTTGATGTGAGTGCTCGTTTTAAGGATGAAATAGGGTTGAATGTTGTTGAGGAATTTAATAAGTTGCAACAACACAATACCATTGAATGTTATGTGGATGATTTTGAAAATTTGAGATCTATTATGGTGCAATCAGGCTATATGCTTCCTGAAAAATATCTTTTAGAAAGCTTCATTGGCGGTTTGAAACCCAGCCTTAGACCATTTGTTCGTGCTTTTAAACCAAAAACCATGGCTTCTGCCATTGAGTATGCCAGACTACAAACTGAATCTGTGTCCCTTAGCCATGACACCCACTATAAAACCACCCCAGCAAAACACTCAACAAACTTCACCACACCCAACTCTTCTAAACCACCCCTTCTACCACTTCCACCAACCAAACCCCTCTCAAACACCTCCCAAACCTTCATTCCACCTGCCAAATCAACCACAAGACCTAAATACATTCCGGCCGCAGTACGGGCTGAGAAAATGGCAAAGGGCCTATGCTACTACTGTGACTCACCCTATACTAAGCTCCACAAATGTCAGTTTTCTACACCCCAGTTATTTACTGTTGAGATACCATGTTCTGATGAGAGTGTGGATGTTACTGAACTGAGTGAAGAGCGAGATGTGGTGCAGGTGGTAGAGCCATTGATTTCCTTGTCTGCTCTGTCTGGTAATCATGGATTTCAGACTATGCGAGTGCAAGTGCTAGTGCCTGGTAAGAAGTTACAGACACTGATAGACTCAGGGAGTACACACAACTTTTTAGACAGTTACCTTGCTAGGCATCTAGGGTGTGTCTTGGAGCATGTACCTGCTCAGTCTGTTATAGTGGCGGATGGTAATAGGTTGGTGTGTGATTCGATCTGCCGAGGTTTTGCTTGGACTCTGGCTGGGCATAAATTCATCACTGATGTGTTGGTTATTCCCCTATGAGGATGTGATATGGTTTTAGGGGTTCAGTGGTTGAGTACATTGGGCTCTATTACTTGGAATTTCAAGCAACTCACAATGCAATTCTCTCTGGGCCATGAGACAGTTGAGCTAAAAGGGCTGCCTAGTCAGAAACTTAAGCTGACTGCTACAGACCCAATAGCTTAGTTTTGGCAGCATGTTGCTCAGGTTTGTATGATTCAAATAGTTGAGACATCTGCTATGCCTACCAGTGAGCTACTGCAGCTCTGTTGCCCAAGCAATACATGTACAGGGTTATATGAACTTCTAACTCACTACTCTGATATCTTTGAGGAACCTACTGCCCTACCACCTAACAGGGAGGGTTTTGACCATAAAATTCATCTGGAAGCAGATAGTAATCCAGTCAACATTAGACCCTATAGGTATTCCCTCAAGCAAAAGGATATCATTGAGCAATTAGTACAGGAACTGTTGGACTTGGGAAAGATTCAACACAATTCAAGCTCTTTTGCTTCGCCTGTAGTATTGGTTGGCAAGAAAGATGGGTCTTGGAGGCTTTGTATTGACTACAGAGAAATGAATAAAAGGATAGTGAAGCATAAGTTTCCAATTCCAGTCCTTGAAGAATTGATTTATGAGCTTTCTGGCGCGATGGTGTTCAGCAAAATTGATCTCCGGGCAGGGTATCATCAATTGAGAGTACATCCTAGTGATGTCTTCAAAACTGCCTTCAGAACTCATTCCGAGCACTTTGAGTTTTTAGTAATGCCTTTTGGGCTAACTAATTCCCCTGCCTCTTTCCAGAGTTGGATGAATGCCATATTTAAGCCATTTTTGAGAAAATATGTGCTGGTTTTCTTTGATGACATTTTAATTTACAGTGCTAGTTTAACCTAACATCTGCAGCATTTGGCTTCGATATTTGAGATTATGCAGAAACACTCTCTTCATGCAAAGTTGAGCAAATGCTCTTTTGCTACAAGTAAGGTTGAATACCTTGGGCACTTCATCTCAGGCCATGGAGTTGAGACTGATCCTGAGAAAATCAGTGCAGTGGAATCGTGGCCCACTCCAGCTTCAGTCAAAGACTTGAGGAGTTTCTTGAGGTTGGCCGGCTACTACAGAAGATTTATTCAAGGTTATGCAAGTATCAGTAAGCCCTTGACTGATTTACTGAAAAAGGGTGGCTTCACATGGACTAACTCTGCTTAGGCAGCATTTGACTCTCTGAAGCAGGCTCTAGTTACTGCACCTGTCTTGGCCTTACTAGATTTTCAGAAGCAATTTGTCATTGAGACTGATGCTGCCAAAGCTGGTATTGGAGCAGTTTTGTTACAAGACAATCACCCTATTGCCTATATTAGTAAGGCATTAGGGCCAAAATGGCAAATACTCTCAATATATGAAAAGGAACTATTGGCCATTGTGTATGCTGTACAAAAATGGGAACAATATCTGGTTAGTGGGCCTTTCATTGTCAAAACAGACCAGAAAAGCCTCAAATGGCTGTTGCAGTAGAAAATCTCCACTCCTTTCCAACAATTTTGGCTTTCCAAATTGATGGGATTCACATATGACATTCAATATAAAGAAGGGAAGCTCAACACTACTGCAGACGCTTTGTCCAGGGTGTCTGGTTCTCAAATCCTTTATATGGCGATATCAGTCATTGATTCTGACCTTCACACTGCTATTGAAAACAGTTATGCCCTGGATTTTAACACTCAGGCTATCTTGCTCAAGCTGCAGTCAGGGAATATTTCAGTAGCAGACTTCACTCTCCAGGACGAGCTGCTCATAAGAAAAGGGAAGATAGTTGTTGGGCCTGATCCTTCACTCAAACAGAAGATTCTCCAATGGCAGCATTCTTCCTTGGAGGCTGGCCATTCGGGTAGGGAGCACACACTAAAAAGGGTCCAGCAACTCTTTTATTGGAAAGGGTTAACCAGAGATGTTAGCCATTTTGTAAGGCAATGTGTGGTTTGCCAAGCTTCCAAGTATGATACGGCAGCTCACCCTGGTAAACTACAACCTCTACCTATTCCTAATCAGGTATGGTCAGACGTTTCAATGGACTTTATTACGAACCTTCCTTTGTCAATGGGCAGGAACGTGATTTTTGTTGTGGTTGATAGACTTAGTAAGTATGCACATTTCATGACCCTAAAGCACCCTTATACTGCAGTGGAGGTGGCTCAATGCTATCTAGATAATGTCTTTAAGCACCATGGGTGGCCTAGAAGTATTGTAAGTGATAGGGATTCAGTATTCCTTAGTCAATTTTGGCAAGGTCTGTTTTCCATCCAAGGTACTAATTTCCTGTTGTCATCGGCCTACCATCCTAAAACAGATGGACAAACTGAAGTTGTAGACAGATGCTTGGAGACATACTTGAGGTGTGTTACTAGTATATGCCCAAAGGACTGGTGTAAATACATCCCTTTGGCAGAATGATGGTACAACACCCACCATCATACTTCGGCTGGAATGACACCCTATGAAATAGTGTATAGCCAGCCCCCTCCTTTACATCTGCCCTATTTGTCGGGTGAGTCTAGTAATGTTGTGGTGGACAGAAGCCTACAGCACAGGGAAGCTATGATTGGTGTCTTAAAATTGAACCTCCAGAGAGCTCAAAATCGGATGAAAACTTTGGCAGACAGAAAGAGATCTGAGAGAACCTTTTCTATTGGGGACTGGGTGTGGCTTAAGCTTCAGCATTACAGGCAATTTTCAGTTCAATCAAGGCCTAACAACAAATTATCTGCCAAATACTTTGGCCCTTTCAAGATACTTTCTGTGGTGGGCAAGGTTGCGTATAAACTTCAGCTCCCTGAAAAGGCAAAAATTCATCCAGTTTTCCATGTTTCTCAATTAAAACAATTTGTTGGTACTCTCCCTACTTGTGTTATCATTCCAGATTGGGATACTTCGCCTGGTCAGAAACCATTGGCTATTATAGATACTAAGACTGTACATGTTAATGGTACACCTCAGCAGCATTTATTGATTCAGTGGGAAGCTAGTCCTGCTCATGAATCAACTTGGATGTCTGTAGCAGATTGTGAAGCACAGTTTCCTGACTTTATTCCTACTGACTTGAGGTCAAGTCTCTTTGGAGGAGGGGCTATTGATACAGGAGGTAGTGTGAATGAGAATGATTGATGAGAGAAGGTGCATGAATGGTGAGCTGGCAGGTGTACTTTGTCTGTTAGAATGAAATCAGTCAGTTGTAATGCTGTAATATTCTCTAGGTTGTTAGAGTTTGTTATGGCGAATATTTTGTGTGGCTAGGATTAACTTAATCTTTCTATCTATAGTTGCCTAAGTTGTTGAGCTGAGGTTATGAATAATATAATTCTCGTTCTCCCCTCTCTCTCCTATCTATCCTTCTCCTTTTCTGCTAGTACATTACTATATTCAATCTTATAATCATCTAGTACCGTATCAGAATGATAGCATTATCTTTGCCCATAATTGTTGCTATTAGTTAAAGTGTGCAAACTGTTGATGTGCTAGAGAAGTAGCTCAAACATATCTAGGTCGTATTACTATTGTGGAAAGGTCTAAGAGGGTAAGGTGATCACTAAGGGTGTCTATTCGAGAGAAGTTGTACAAACAACTTCCAAGGGATGAGTCTATCTATCAAGTGCGAGGTAGAAGCAAGTGTTGATTAAGACAGTGGCCCAATTTATTCATACATATATAATATGTGTGTTTAAACTACCCTCTTCTTTTTATGATGAGTTTTGATCTTTATATATAAAGATTTGGAAAATTCAAACAAATTTTCTTATATTATGCCCGCGAGCATTAGATTGAATAAGTGATATGAAGTGGAAACTCTCAAAGGTTGAATCAATCAAAACGTGATATTGAAATATTAAAATATAAATTATATAAATTAGAGCAAAGCTATATATTACAAATGATTGATACCAAAATCAATCAATCAAAATATGATATTGATATATATAAATGATAACAAAGCTATATAAGTATTACAAATTGAAGCTCATGGATGAACAAAAATAGTTTATGAGCTCGGATTGATTATTATACAAGGTGTTCAAAAGCCGAGCTTTAACACAATAACTACAAAACAAACAAAACTTGAGCAAAGTTTTGAGCTCAGATGAAAGTTCAGGCTTGATCTCGTGCTTGACTAAGTTAAATGAACATGAATTAGTTAATAACTGACTTATTTACCAGCAAAGGTTCGTTACAACTTAGATTTATACTCCTTGCTAATTGCCATCATAAAGTTGGACCCTCCTTCCATTAAGTGGTTGTGCTGGTCTAGCATTCTTGATCTTATTGGCCTCACAAAGAGGAGCCTTCAAAGCTTCAACTTGATCCTTTGAAATCGATTTCACCTAAATTTTAAATCAACAACCAAAATAAAAGGAGGAATGTATAAGCCATTTATCACATATGTATTCATTAGCATGTAGCCATTCTTATTGTGTGCATTGAGTTTGGCTCATAAACTATACTCATTCATTGGTTATGTTAAGTTTAGTTGTCACGTTGTTTAAAAAAAAAAAATAGTTGTCACATTGTCTCAACTTTTTATAATTACGAAATAATTGTATTGTATAAAAAGAAAACACTTTTTTATATTCAAATCATCTCTATAAAAAGAAAACACTTTTCATTACTTAGTTTAAGAATTGAAGGTGAATATATATTCAAAAATATTAATCCTAATTCATTACTATATTAGCCTATATTAGAAGTGACTATTAATTCCGAACAGAGGGAGTAATGTTATGGATTTATGGTGTACTTACTAGGCCTAAAATTGGAATTATTAGGCATGTAAAGCTATTATCTCTGTCGTAATAAGTGCCAGCCTCATTAGAATTAATCAGTTATATAGTATAAATGTATAATATAATTTTGTCAACCATATTAATCTAGGGTACATACATACGTAACTAACTATTAATTTAAACATACCTTGGTAATAACATTCCAAATGACATTCTCATCACAAGGAGGGGTAGTGAGAGAGCCAGGATATCTGTAATATTTGCGAGGCCTCCTTCTCAAGAATCTTGAATCAAACCTTGGAATCGCCACTATTCTTTCATGATCTTGACATGGTTCTTTAGCTAATTCATCCAACTGGGGTTTTAGCTGAAATCCATCGAGATCAAGCAAACACGTACACACAATAAATGGATCTTGTTCGCCGTATCTTCAAAGGTTAAATCTAAAGAACATAACACATGGTATCTTTCTATAGCAAATAATCAAGTTCCAGACCCAAACTGCCATGTACTCTAGGTAACAAACCAAACGCTCCCCTAAAAGTAGCAAATGAAGCTAGATTATATCGCGACTTAATTAAATTATAGCCCATTGCTTAATTTAAATGATCATGTATGTATTCATATTCATTATATTATTGTATGATTTGTATCTGCTAAATTTTATCTATGTTTTCCTAGCTTGTGACACCCTTCAAATGAAATTAAATAATTAAATAAAAAAAAAAATAATGAAGAAGAATTGGTACATATATATAACTCTACAAACATACCATGGTAAGAACAGGATCAGGTTTGCCATACTCGAAAAGGATCCCTACAACAGACCGGCTGCCATCAGCAGCTACATATACCTGATGTAGCTCTGCCGCGTATCTTTGTAATGCACATACAAATATTCAAACAAAACCATTTCATTATGAAAAATATTATATCTAAAATTTCTAATCGCAATAATAATGTCCCAATCCCTCATAATCAAGTCTTGAAATATAAAGGACTGACGAAGAATTTAGCTTACTGGACACCATTAAGGCGGTGCTCTGAAGGAGTATGCCAATGCATCTGCTTCAACTTGTATGTCTCTCCATCGAACATCAAATCTCCTCGACCAGTAAATACAACCTGGATTACATACCGTTCATAGGAATACCTTGTCAAAATTAATGCCCAAACATATTATAGCATGTAACAAGGGCTTTAGAAGGAAATTAACCTCAACTTCAATGCCATCAGTGGACAATGAAGCGTTGTAAATGTGGTAGTTTCTAGTCAGAGGTTGCATGTTTTTGTTGATGACAACGTCGTTGGTGTTGATATCAATAGGGGATTGCCTCTTGCCGGTAGAGCAAGCTGTGTAATTTGGGTGCTTGCTTCCCCATTTTTCTACTTCTGAATAATTATACAGTGGGAGATCCTCTGATTCATGTAACCAAAAAAATATTATAAGGGAGTGTAATCATTTATGCTTTGATCATTTTTTACTTTGTTCGATAAGGTCAATTTCAATAGCTTAAACAGCAGAAACCAAACATTATAATCTCAAATCGATCAAGTGAAAGAGTTTTCTACAACTAAAACAACAAAGACATAATATTAATCATGGTATCGAATGTCCTGATGTATGCAACATTATCCTTAGGCAGTAAGGCCTTAACTGCTTAAAATTATTGGAGAGGTTGTGTAATATACACAAGTAGACGTTAGAGAAATAGAGTACCTGAGGCAAAGGCGCCGATGAACACGAATGAAGCACAAAACAAGAGAAGGGCAGGAAAAGACGAAATCATTGTATTTTCTTGCCCTTTGCTAGCTTATTTCTGAATCACAAACAGAAAAACTCTCCCCCTCTAAATATTTAGTTCTACCTACAGAGTTTACCACACTTAGATTTGTGATACCAAGGAATAAATGGCTAAGCTTTTCTGATTTTCTCTTCCTCTTGTTTTATTTAGCTCATTGCATTTACACTCGATGATGGGAAACTCTGATGGTTATATATAGCAATTCTTCACCATAAATTCCACAAAAAAAAAAAAAAAAAAAAAAAAAACCTATTATTTGATGTAAAAATAAAAATTATGTGGTGCTTAATTAGATATAGCTTGGTGGGCCAAAAAGTCCATTAACAATAGGAAGTTCCTGTAAAATTAATTAGAGATGAGATATGTCATTAACAGGATTGTTGTTTCACAGTTAAAGGAATCTTAATTTTTGTTTCTATAATAGTTATAAATAATGGTAATTGAACTAAAGCGTCTACTTAAGAGCAACGCAACCAAATTTTGATGTCAATGTAATAAAATTAAAGAGTCTACTAAAGAGCAACGTATCTTATCATGTCTGTCCTTTGTCTTGAACTACTCTAGTTTTTTTTGGATGTGAGATGGTGTATAAGAGGCTTTTTAAACACTAGTTAGGCCTATTAAACACTAGTTGTTTGTCTTAATGGTGACAATGTATTTATGTTCGATTCTAATTACACATATGTCGAAACGCTTGATACACCTAAAAACGAAAATATAACAGTTAATTTGGAATGGAGGGAGTAAGTTGAAATGAGCCACACATCTACTATTGGGATGTATGCTCAAATTATGGGTTGACTATTTTACTCATTTCTTTAACCAAGAAATGGATCACAATCACTAGAGTTTAGAAGGCCGACATGAAAAGATTATACGACCCAAAATCAATATATTATTTGGTCCAAAATTAAAGAAAAACAATGTCATAATATAATATAAGCCACCATGAAAGGATGAAATAAAAAGTCCTAGGTAGCAATTTATAAGTCAAACAAATAAATAAAACCTCCCCCATACATATTGGAAGGCATGCATGCATTCCTAACACACTTTGAGTGCACTGTGCACTGTAAGTGGTCACAAAAAAAGAGTTGCACTCTAAACATTAAGCAAGATAATGGTGGTGCCATGCTGTGAAAGGAACAACAATTGTGGTCTTTTCTGTTTGTTTCTTTACATGTAAAAGAAAAGGCAGCGTAATAATTCTACCCCCATATCTTGAGAATATCTTCTTCACCTCGAAGCATCGCGATGATTCGGTTTCTAGAACCATGCGACATGGAATCTGATCCTTTTGGTTCAAGCTATTGCTGCATGCTACAAGCCTACAAGTATACATGATTTCTCATGTGAAGAGCTAACTGAGCATGGTCTTCATCCATTCCAGTACAATATTTTGTGACAGTTATGTTGGATTTGCACAAAAAGGGAATACTAATTTTGGAAGAATAAAAATAAAGAATGAAAAATGAAAAGTAGGAAGTATTACAAAAGACAAAGGGAGAAATAGATTGAAATAGCCGCTGTATTCTAGCCTTCTAAGTTAACATCATAATATTGGATGTTTGGGCAGATATTAATTGTCTACCAAAGATGAACATACATCCCCTTTCATCGAACCATAAAATCATAATATTCTTTAAGTGTGGATCAAGATAAACAATCATGTTGAACTCTTGGGGAAGATCAGCCTGTTATCCCTAGAGTAACTTTTATCTTGCCCTAGTTCAAAGACTGTAACTGCTAAACTTTCTATAAGATTGAAATTCTTCTCTGTTACAGTCCCGTCACCTTTTCATTCTTTTTGTTGATTTTCTTTGAGATTTGGGGAAGGGTTTGAAACATTGTATAGCATTGTCTTAGCCTTCTTAGGATCCTAACTCCTCATCAGATAAAATGATCTGTACTCCTGTAGAACCTGCGACACCTACAAGATTGTCGTTTCACACAAATTATGCCACTGACCCCGTACAGTGAGTGTCGTGCTCGTGCTTGCCTAGAAACACAAGCATCACCTAGGTAATAGTTCGTTCCTTTGAAAGGATAAAGCATATGCGTGCTTTTAAGAGCACATAAACTATACGGAACAATTATACAATATTTTAGAGGTTTCTAGTAATCCTTGTTCACCTAGACAGCAGATGACATGATGATGAACAATCTTTATAATCTCTCTTGATTTGGATGGGATCTCATGCAGCAGGCAGTCAAGTTGGGTTAAAGAGACAGGAAACTCCAAAACAAGTCAATCTACTGTTTGACTGCCTTCATTATTCCAGTAACCAAAAACAGAATAACAGCAGCACTGCCGCGCTGGAGCCTATGACCATCCACTTTTCTTCTATATATACAGGTTGAATAAATGAAGAGACATCCCAAAACAGTGTAGAAGTGTTTTCTTGAGACCCACACTAATCCTAGAACCAAGCACGACTTGGCCTAGTGGAAAGGTTTGTATCTTAACCATGTGGTTATAAAATCAAACCCCACAAGAACACTTTTTGGGGGTAAGAATTTCCTTACTCTTCCCCTCTCCCAAGGCACCTTGCAAGCTAACCCAGCTAGGATTCTAGCCGGTAGAGCCTTCTCCTTAACCACCCAAAAATAAATAAATATTGTCCTAGAAGAAAACCAAATTTACCAATTCACAAGAAGAGGTACAAAATTATTACCATTATTAATGGTCAAAAGTATATAGGGGTAATTAAATGAATAAAAGTTACAATTTGAAAGACATAATGCCACAACTGAGATTTGATGAACATGAATAGAATCTTCCAGTCAATTTATGGACTGACAATGAGGACAATGTTGAGAATATATTTCTGACTAGATTTGTACACATCACACATGACCTTCATGTAGAAAAAGAAACAAAGGTATATCAAGCACATTTAGTTATCTACAAGATGAAGAGAACCTTCATTCGCCTCAGAATATTTGCTACTAAAGAGCATATGTTGCTTTTAGGTAATCTACTATTTCGGCACTTTCGAACATTTGCACTCCGGTATTTGGATCTTCTAAATAAGGCACCTAACAAGATATTATTGAAACATTAACAATAATGTTAGAGCTTACTGCATCATCTAATGCAACATAAGGGACAAGCTGCTTATTATTTCAAAAAGGAATTTACCTGAAAATGACCAACTCTTGCATACAGATCCTGTCTTTTGGGGCTGCCACGAGCGCAGCTGAAAAAAAAACAGTATTAAACCTTGTCATAGTTGAAAATTAGGACATGTAAGCCTTCATCAATGTTTCTAATAAGAAAAGATAAATGTTGATATCTTTTGAATTAGGATTTTCAAAAATTCCATGACTTTCAATATCAAATTTTTTTTTTCTTCATAAATTATGCTCAACGCTTGCTTTCTTTGACGTGGAATATAAAAATTCAGACCTTCAATGTCGGACAAAAGAAGTATTGCTTCACTACATTGTTACTCTGTACATTTGCTAACAGGTAAAAAAAAAAAAAGAAAAATTCAATTTCAACTTAATTACCATCTTACTTTCATCCAATCATGTTCTAAAATTTTGAAGGTATTAATACTTTAGTGTGTACAGTAATAGAAACTGGACAACAATGTCAGGACATCCGGAGAGAAAATTTAGCAACATAGCATGGATGGAGTATGTTAAATTAGACAGATACTTATTCAACATTAGTGTTGTGCAAAAAGAAAACATTGCAACTTCGATCAATACAATATGAACAAACAAATAAGCTATATAGAAACTTTCCACACAGTACCTGCGTTGAATGTGTGGCAACTCCAATTCCACAAGCACCTCACGAGCAACTTTACAGAAAGGAGAACCCTGAAGTAATAGACATGGTATTAAACTCCATAAAAATTGATGTTTAAATATAGGCAATACAAGAAGTATAATTTATCTTCCTATTCCCTTTCCCTCCCCTCAACTCCCCCAAAAAAAAAAACCAAAAAACAAAAAAAAAAACAAAGATAGTATTAAAGTTGACAAGTAAAACCTCATATGCCCACAATACAAGTGGCTTAGGTGGCATTTTTGCTGGAGTATAAGATGATCCCTGGAAATAGGAAAGGCAGAAGAACAAATGTCAGTTACTGGTGTCAGCTACCAAAAGAAATTTTGCAATCAGAAAATGTTTTGCCAAGTGCAACTTACTCTACCCATGCGCCCAATCATCGCAAATCCTTCAGTTAAGGTCTAAATAAGTCAAAAAAGTTGAATTAGTCGTTTATTAGTGTTTCAATAATTACATTTAAAGCAATTGAGATACTAACCGTAAGTAGGCCTAGCGACAACAAAAGAGGGACTTGACCATTACCTGCATAAAGGACCTCAAACTCATAAAAACGTACAGGACCTCCAGAGAAGTATAGATAAGTTGCAATAAATTTTAGATTGCAAATTCACAGAGGAGATTATTTATCTAGGAAATTCAGGATGTTTGACATTATCTAAAGTGCAATTGACTTATTTTACTAAGATGTGGCTGCAAGCCTGAAACTTGTTTGTATCACATTTTTTTTTTTTTTTTTCTATTAACCAGACAATAGCAACTTCAATAGATTAGAAATTTTGGGATATATATAATAACTAAAAGGGAGATAAATAATAAATAATAACTAGGAGGTAAGGATGAAAAAAGTAGTATTTAGATTAACATTTACCAAATAACAATTGCAAGCTAGGAGTTTTCACTGGTGGCAAAGTAGTAATTAATAAAATTTACTTCGTATAAAGACTGGGGGAGAATTGCTTCTCTAATAAGAAAATTAAATATCAACGTTTAAGCAGATAGACCTTTTGTTTGAGGGGTAACTAAAAAAGGAGACCAAGGGTTGGTAGTCTATATCCATAATTCACTCCAACGTTCAAGAGCTTTCCTTACTTTGTAAAACTTTTTAGTAAAAAACACTAATCTCTTCATAGAAAAGAGTTTGGAAACTCTGGAACCAACATAAGAAAAAACCTGGAGTCATTAAGATAGTAGTACGTCTGTCCTGCACATAAGCATACTATATATAACTGTTGTTCAATAGAAGACAAGTATAACCTCAACATTATCAAAACGGAAGTTGTCCATGGCAGGATAGAGGTCATGTATATGTAATCTTATTTGATATGACAAATAGATTGCTTCTTATTGCCTTGTAATCAGAACTCAATAGCCATATGCTACTTCACAAAAGTGCATTTTATGAGCTATTATGATGAGTAAATTATTTATTGGATATCTACTATTTCTTTCTTGTGTTCCAAATCAAAGGCTAAGTTGAAAAAAAAAAAAAAAAAAGAAAAGAAAAGAAAGAAAAAAGAAAAAAGGTTCTTCGTTTTTTCAGGAGAACACTGCATATATCAAAGGCTTTTAGGAATGAAAAGACTGAATAGCATGATGCATGTGACTTTTCAATAAATGGCTATAAACTGATTGAATTACTGGAAATATAGAAAATCTAAGAGCAGGACTAAAGCTTTGTTCTCTTCACCTTAATCTTAGCTTTGTTCTCTTCACCTTAGTCTTATTACTTTATATTTAATCATGTCAAAATTCTAGACAAGACTAGGAAAAAAAAAAAGAGATCAAATTCACACTAGATAAGACCACACTTTACAAAAATCAGATCAAAACACCTTTATAAAGCTTCATAGCATCAATGGTCATCTACATATAGTTTTACATCCATCACCACATAGGGGCTCTTCTATATATGGATAATAATTAAATCTTAAGAAATTAAAGTAAAAATACAAATCAGTAGAATTGACTTTCAGCAAATTTTAAGCTAACTCTGCTAATTATTACCTAATTATCATCCCATAAATCCCTTAATTCACTGTTGCTCAGGTTGTTTATTAAATCATTGCAAAAAGTTTGATAGAAAGGTTTTCAAAAAATTCTCAAGGTTGCTTCAATATGGTAACTTGAAACGCTCTTGGTTTCCTAGCACAAAAAAAAACACTAATATATTACACAAAACACCAAAACAATCGAAAATAAAACAAGAAAGCATAATGGCTTAAGACTTTAAGAGTGTAATTTGAACTAAATGTTACCTAATACCTTAACCAATTCTTCAGCTATCACCTGACATGAATATCCACATAATTTTACACATACTATCAAAAAATAAAAAAATAAAAAAGGAAGACAAAATCGTCATTGGCCAAACAAGCAGAGATTTGAGCCAAATTATTTTCTTATGTTAATCTTAGTTATATTAATTTTCCTTCAACAGATTAACTACAGACCTATTCTTCTATGAGTAAATGTGTAGGTTCATATCATTTAAGGAAGATAAAGCATTTTGGTTAAAATACAAGTGCATCCCCAGCTTACCACTTCTCAAACACGAAGAACCCCTGATAACCAATATGTACAGCTCAATTGGAAAGCAAAGCAAGAAAGGGCAGGAAGAGCCGATGTAAAAAAGTTAAATGACCAAACTTTAAGGGTCACGAATAAAGAAAACAATGTAGAGCCATATGTAAGAGAAGGAATGGCAGAATTAATCAATGGGCTTGGCATGCAATCAAGGCTAATGAAATCAAGAAACTCCGTTAAATAATGAGGAGAAGGTGACAAACCATATTTGTTGACCAAATACTTAATAATATCATCTGATTCATACATAGACACTCCAGTGTTAGGATCCACCTGCAATCACATAATCAGTGACTGGTTTTAATTTCATTTATTCAAACATGTGTAAAAAAGAAATCTTAACATAATATCAAGGAGAGGAGAGGTAAACCAGTCCCAAAACCAGACACTAAGAGACTGGATCTATAGGCCAGATTCTAAGGAATGAGAAGTTGTACGTATAATACTAAACCAAACACTTGGGCCAACCTATAAAGTTGGTGGTTCTGGAAAGACTTGTCATCAAGACAAATGCACATAATTGTAATGAACCGACCACATTACAAGTAGTCTAATACTATTCTGTAAATAGTCATCAGATTTCGTATAAATAGAGAGAGAGCTGCCACTTGTGCATATGAGACAAAAGCTCATTCTAGAATCATCCTAGGGGTTGAAACCGTGTACATATATAGAGAGAGATGAGAAAGGATTAGGCAGGCATTTTGTGAGTAGAATCATTTTGGAGAACTGTGACCTAAAGTCACTACCTTGGAGTGGTACTAGGAGAGTGGTAGCCTCAAGCTGTCGGTCACTAACTTGGAGAGTGGATGACCATATGCTCATATAGATTATATAAGTTTAAAGGAAGTAAAATCATACATCGCATCCTTATGCTTATGCAAATTATATAGCAGTAGGCCAATAACATATTAAATACTACCGAATGACCTCATAGACATGATGTATGTTCTAGATAAAGTCAGAAAACAATAGTCTGAAAATGGACAAAGCCCGTTAAGTGGTGAAGTGGCCCCTTCCCACCACCCAACATCCACCACTGCAACAAAAGCCTCCACCATCACCTCCACAACCAGCCACCACCAACAGCAATAGGCCCCTATCCAACAGCCACCATTGACACTAACATCCCCATTGCACTCCCATCTCCTCCACCACCACTTCCTATAACAGCCACCATCATCTTATTCATTCTTGTCTCTGACAAAAATACAATGTCTCATATTTGTGTCTTTGACGGTCGAATTTGGCATAAATTTCAAATATATAACCATTGTGGCCAGATTAGACCACCATATACTCTCTATCATTCAGCTCTTATGGTGATTTGTTTTCTTTCCCTTTCTTGGTCGGATAATGGTAATTTGTTATCTTTCCCTTTCATGGTTGGATTAAAAGGTTTTCTGATGGCTAGTTCTCATGGAGGGGCTTGTGGAACTATTTAGTGGTCGACTCTGGGTTCGGTAGTTATGGTGAAGCCATGGTGATAAAAGTGTTCTTAAGGTGGGTTTTTTTTGGAAATCTCAAAATTTTATCTGATACATACTATAAGATTACTTCACCACATAGAAAATGCAAAAACAAAGGGTTTCTAGGCTAAAATTCTCAAATACTGCAGAGGACTGTGTCCCTATCTTTTTGGGGGAGTTCAGTTTCTAAGGGTGCAAAAATTATTATACTGTATCTCTTCCATTTACATGACCTAAAATTAAATCTGATTACGAACAAAACAATTGAACTTTGCCAGAGTTGCCACATTAATGGTGAAATCACACAAGTGGGAAAGGATCTGTACAGCAAAAAATAGTTTTCAGTCAGAATAATTTGACATAAGATTGATGGGTATGTTGTCATACCATGTAAGGAAACATCTTCTTTCCACCCATCTGAACTGCTTTCGGACGGAAGTTTGGCCCATTTCTAGGGCAAGGATAGTACAAAACATCAAGATCTAACACTGCTACAATTTCCCTGACCTGTTTACACATTAGGAGATCAGCTATATGGAGTTATGGACAATCCCAGGAAAGGTATGCAAATTACATTCTGGAGAAAATTATCATCAGTCAAGCACCATATATATTGTGATAATGTGAATGAAATAATGAATCATCAGTACCTTTCGGCAGAAGGGACAACTGATGTACTCAGTGTGTTGCAGGCAACATATGGTGATGCCAAAGGAGCAAAGTAATTAGTTAAAATGCCAATAAGCTGTAAAAGGCTATGCTAAAGATGAAGATGCCACAAGCTGCACAATGCTCTTCAAACACCAATGCTCAGAGATGGGATGAAATGCAGTTCAGTTTCAATACCTTTCAAACTCATATATCTCAATAGGGTTTTCAGGACGTGGTCCTAATTTTGATCTCTCCTTCAACTTGAAACCTTAATCAAATAAAATTGAAGAAGAACAAGCAGTATATATGTGAGTCACACATTAAATTTCAAAATATAAAGTAAAAACAATCATTTCATCCAGAAAGTGACTATTACAAAGAGTGGGGAGCAAAATTATTACATAAAAATTATATAAAAAAACAGTTTAACATCTTCAGCAGACAAAGTTACACAAATACATTTATACACACATCACTTTCTTAACCAATCTACATTATAAGAATCTAAAGCCCCTATGTGGAAAGACAAATGTACACAAAAACAAGAGCATCAGATATAGTTCATATTCTTTCCAAAATTACCAAGAGGAATTTAAGAAAATGTGAAACTAATTTATTCACAAGAAGAGTTCTGAATTCTAACCAATCCAAGCAAATGAGAAGCTAACTTATTAAGTGACTTGATTTTTACATTTTGAACACAACAAAATTTTAACGGAGAAACTTGCTAACAGGTTGGTCTATGCAAGGCTGATAGTAAAGATATTGACCCAGGAAAAAGAACAAAAAGCCCAAGCTAGCAAGCAACTGATGTGCTGCTTAAAAATAGTTGTTCTAATCCTTAGCTTTCAAGAAACTCAACCAAATCATTATCTTGCACTAAAATCCGGGACTTTAAATTTGTTTTTGCAAAAAATTATCTCATTGAACTATAGAACAGGTTGAGATAATTGAAAAAATCTGCAAACATCCTTGCGTTTTCCTTAATAGAGCTTCTTTGTTTCAAAATATCAATACTTTTGTATAAATATATTCTAGTGGAAAACTTATAGAACATTCAAGAACCCCCAACCTCCAAAGAGAGGAACACACATCCAAGGACATTGAGAAGGGAGAACGGCCTCATAAAGTCTTATGGAAAGCAAACCTTATACAATGAGGAAGTTGAGCAAACATATTACCAGCAATTTCCAGAGCATATTGGTCAGATGGGATTTCATCCTTTGAAACAAGGGAAACAGAATACCTGTTAATGAGTGATAAAAGTAAATCATATATTGAAAACACTGTACAAGCCAAGGTCAGTTATTCTGATCAAGCAATCAGCCATTCTATTTGACAAGGGATAAGTCAAAATTAAGTTTATTGCAGCATACATTTGAAAAATAGATAGCTGTAGGCACAAAGTAAAGGACCTAAATTATATAAACATCAAACTGCACTCCCTGGCAACAAGCAGAAAAAAAATTCAAGAGGTATATGAGAAGGCACCTAATTTAGATAGATGCGAACCGGATGATTACATTGGGTAAATAGTTCATCAGGTTCCCAGTTCAAGTTTCCTGTACTTTACCACTGATATAAAGGAAGCCTTGGTTACTCTGCAGCTCATATTGTCCAATATTTGGCCATTTGATAGTAGATTGATGTCAAGACACATAATGCAACAAGCAGTTTCACGCTAGCATTGAGTCACTGACAAACTAGTTTTACAGGGAAACATACTTCCTCCAAGAAGAAATGCCCTCTGCTTTCCTTTCCTTTTTGAGATGTTTTAGAAGGAAGGTCCCAAGTCCAACCTCCAAAACAAATTTCTCTCTATGCAATAGCTGTGCTACTTCAAAACGTAATTTTAGTGGTTTATGATTACTATCTCAATCTTTGTGAGAATTCAACTAGGATAAACAATGTGAAAAAGAAGAGCACATATATCAGAATGACAAGTGTGCATGAGAGAACGGAAAAGGTAAAAGACAGAGAAGCTAGATTCGCAGACAAGTAGAAAAGAGAAAAAGATGGTTTGTTAGGTGGTTAGCTCCCAGCTATGGTACTAAACTAACTCCAAATCGGCATCACAAGAAGTCAAAGCAAGTTTAGTTGAACGTCGAAGAGTTATAATTGTTACTAAACATGGAGTATCAGACATTGTTTGTTGGACAGTATTAGAATTTCAAATTCTACTATCTACCACAAACTGGACATACAATGACACAAAATCTTCAATTTTGCAATTCCTATATTTTTATCAACCCTTAAATAAATATACCGCAGGAACTTTTATCCAATGCATGATTGCATGTATCATCAAATAATTCATTCAAATACAAAATAAACTTCAGGGACTTATCCTATGCATGACTGCATGTATTATCTAATAATCCATCCAAAATACAAAATTGCAAAAATCCCAAATAACATCCATGCAATTAACAAAACTCATAGAACACAATCAATTAAGTGATTAACAAATATCATCGTCTAATTAATCACCATAATCATCTGATTACCTCAGAAATTACAAATAAACATAATTAAACAGTAATTAAGAAAAAAATTAGGGTTTACCCATCAGCAAAAACACCGGTACCCAATCGGAAGATGAGAGAGAGAGAAGCGCCAAGAATATCGAGAGTCCTATCCGGTCTAATACCGAACCGCTTCGGCTCCGGCGGCTTAAAATTCGGCGGCGGCGAAAAATTAGGGTTCGATGTCGAAACTCCGGCATTTAAACCACCTTGAGAGCTTGAATCTACTGTCGATTCTGAGATTTCCGTGGAAGCCCTAATTCGAAATGAATTTATCGGCATTTTCCGGCCGGAATTTGGCCGGAAAATTGAAATTGGAGTGAAATTCAAAGCTCCGGGCATGATTTTCCGGTGAAGTTCCCGGAGATATAATTAAATAAAATGAAAGAAGTGATGGATTTTTTGTGAAGAAATAAGTACAGTAGTTTTAGTTCACAAGTGTGGGTAGATTTTTTTTGGTGGCAAATACGAATACACGTACTCTCGTACAAGTGTTTAAAATTGGCGGGTTAGTTTACTCTCGGAACATGGACTTGTTTATGGAGTAATTATGTATGGATTTCTTTTGTATCATAACAATTGCAACCGTTAGATTTTATCATTTTCTAAAATGGATATGGAATTTGAATATGAGACCAAAGGTTGTAACTATGGGATTTGAACATATGACCAACGACGTTTTCTCTTGGCACAGACTTTTTTTGATAGCTTATAAGGATCGATTGAATTGGATTATGTACCAACCACAAGTGATAATGAATTTATCTATACTCCATTTATTAATTTTGTTTCCTTTAGGTTTAAAATAAACATATAACTATCCAAAGTCATTCTTGCAATAGAAAATGAGTATATTCATTCTTAACAGGACCGTCTTGGAAGATTTTGGGGCCCTATTCTAAAATAAAATTTGGGGCTCTCTATATTTAATTATAAAACTTATACAAACTCAAAAGTTTACAACCAGAATTTAGATAAACAATATTTATTTCAATATGCTACTCTCTTTGTTGTAGCAATAGAATAATCAAAGTAATCAAACTTTGCCCAAAATTAAGTAAAATAAAATTAAATATAAGAATTGTCTTACCTTACTTTGGATTTCAAAGTAAATCGGCAACCGCAAGACCAATCGATACTATGATGGTGAATTATGAACTCTAGAACTTAAAATTGAAGGTAATTATGTAGTTTACCCAATTATTGCAATTGAACCACTGTACTGTACATATGAGGAATTTAGGTTTTTTTTTTTTTAAAAAAAAAAAAAGTAGAATTGGGATGAAATAAAAAGGGGAGTATTTAAGTGTGACGAATGATTATACATTACAATGAAATTGAAAACTTAGTGTTCATAGTAATGTAGATTCATCTAAACATGGAGAAAATATTTTAAATTTCCATATATAATTGACAAAATTACATGGAAAAGAAGAGAAAAAATAGAATTAATTGATTGAATCTGACAAAAATAAGAAAAAAAAATGTCAAGTTTAAAGGAGAAGATAAAAAAAAAAAAAGAGAATTAAGGGAATAAGGGGTTGAATTGGGATGGAAAACTGACATGGGAATCAGAGAACTGTAGACGTGATTTTAGGAATCATTAAAATAAAATAGGAGAGAGAAGAAGTAATAAGCAAAAAATTAATCCAGTAACTAAAAAATCCAAACTTAAAAATAAAAATAAAAAAAATTAAGACAAGGGCTACTAATATGTTTGGGCCTGTTTTCAAAAAAAAAAATAAAAAATATGTTTGGGCCTCAATTTTTGGGGGCCCAGTGCTTCAGCACGGGTTGCACACCCTTAGCTACAGCCATGATATTTAAGGAAAAATTGTCTGGAATTACTAGCTTAATAGGTCAATTTGTGAACAACTATTCCCTAAAAAGTTATTTAAAAAACTACCCCTAAAATTTAAAAAGTTTGGGTAGCACTAGCCTTTTTCATTTTTCGGCAACTAATTCCAGCAAGTGGGCCCCATATGTTATTTTTCCTCAAAAAATTTGGTTTTTGGATTGAGTCTTTGCAAAGAAGAGAATGGTTGGTTAATATATAGGAGGGCGAGGATGTTTTTTTTTGGAGAGAAAATAACAAACGGGCCCCACTCGCCGGAATTAGTTGTTGAAAAATGAAAAAGGGTAGTGCTACTCAAACTTTTTAAATTTTAGGGGTAGTTTTTTTATAAAACTTTTTAGCGAGTAGTTGTTCACAAATTGACATGTTAAGTGAGTAGTTCCTGACAATTTTTCCTATATTTAAACTTGCATGTATTAAATGAAAAGAAATCTCTTTAACATTTTACCATTTATCAGTGTTCTTATGAACCAAATCACGAACCTATATGGGTTCAATTTTACTCTTTTAATCTATATAATACAAGATATTCTTTTAAAGGTTCATATACTTATAAGGATCTTGCTAACAAGTGTCACGGGGCGTTAGATAAGGGATTAATATGTTACTTAGAATAGTATTAAGTTCGGAATGCATGATAAAATCACGCGTCGATTGGTGTAATTAATGTTAATTTCACTATAATATTTCCACAGTTAGCTCTCTTATCTAACGTCCCAGCTCAGGGGTGCTCGTTAGCTTTTGCCTACTTATAATTGAATTGTAACAAAATTCTAGTAATTAATATGTTAGTATTTTATTTTATTGAAGGGAAATTAATATGTTAATATAAAACGCACTTTATAAAAGAGTATATAAAAAAAATTCACCATTACTCATTAAACTCACTTTGTAAAATTTTGTGTAAAATGAATGTTATGATTTGTAAACAAGAGTGATATACTAATTTATAATTTTATAAAGGGTAATGATATATGTAGCTCTTAGGGCTATATATATGCATTAAATATACTTCCTCAAATGGAAGTAAGTTGGGAATTCATGATAAAATCACGCACAAATCGGTGTAATTAATGTTGATTTATACTAAGATTTCCCTTTTTAGCTTCTTATACATAGTCCTTAGGCTATGTTTATCATTTTCCTTTTATAAATGTGTTCTTTTCACCTAGTTAGACCTAAACTTATCTGAACTGAACTTATCTGAACTTATTAAACTTATTAGACCTTAATGAACTTATTAAACTTTTTTTTTTTTTTTGAAGACAGATCTTATTAAACTTATTGGAACTTATTAAACCTTGTTGAGCTTATTAGAACTTATTGGACCTTATTAATCGAAACTTATTAAACCTTATTATAATTAGACCTTATTAATATTAGATTTGATTAGAACTTATTGGAACTTATTAGACCTTATTTAACTTATTGGAACTTATTAGACCTTATTCAACTTATTGGAATAGAACTTATTAAATCTTATTGAACTTATTAGACCTTATTGAACTTAATTATTAAACCTTATTAAATTTATTGGACCTTATTGTAACTTATTTGAACTTGTCTGAACTGATGTGAACTTATTAGACCTAAAACTTATTTTTATAAGGTGAATAGTTTAAGCCCATCTATTCTGATCCCAATATAACTTGCTCATTTGATGATCTTCTTCCACATTTCCCAATAAATTTATATGCATGCCTAAGAGGTTTAACTAACGAGCAGTATCCAATTAAAATTCTTGTGTTAGATCATTAAATAAAAACATTTTCAATTAATAAAAGGCAAATCTTTAAAAAAAAACAACGGAAAACGCCATCTTTAATGTTGAAATTCGAAGCAGCTTTAATGGAAGATATAGATCTCAATGCTTCAATGGAGACAACCCCAACAACTATTTTCGAAGTCAAAGTAAACGAAAACCCTAAGAACAAATGGATAAATAAAGGACATGGTTAACCCTAAAGGGTATAGTAGGGGTTTCGTCCCCCTCCATTGATTTCCCCATTGAAGCAGCTCGTTCCTTTTATTGAAGCTTCGTTTTCTTGAGCTTCATATAATTGACAAAAATATCCTTACTTTTTTGTAGGAAAAATTATGTTGATAACCCTAGGATAAACACACCAAAAGTTTATCCTATTAATTTAACGTGTATTTTCTCTTAACTAACAGTTTTGCGGTGTACTGGCCAATATCTATTAGTAGCTGATTTTTCCTCCTCAAATTAAAGCATGAATCATGAGATTAACTACTAGTGGATATATCATTACTTCATTAGTGGATATATTCATTATGCATCTTTTACATAAGCACATCCATCACGCTGACATGTATTATAACCTAAATTAATTGCGGCTCCATTTCTAACAAAAAAAACTAAGGGTTTATTAAGTAATTGTATATTACATGGAAAATAACCCTCAATTGCACTTCTTATTTAAGTCTTTCACTCTTTCTTCATGTGTCAAAGGATCCACAGTATACAAAATATTAAAATATGAAATTAAAGTATATATATACGTAGTATTAAAGTATGAAAGTATATATGGTTTTTATATAATTTGAACTTATGACCATCAATAAATAACTTAAAAGGAGAATCAAGGTTGACTTAGTTAGTTAGAGACCCTCATTCCATACCTGAAGTAACTAACTTAAAAGTCTTACTATCTTAGCCATATTCATGCTTTCTTACTTAATTTTACTCAAAACATATCTCCTCGCAACTTTGATTATATATGATCATTTTGCTTTTTTTTATTTTTTATTTATTTTTTCCCCTCAGTTTAATCGGGGACATCACTCGAATCACACACTAGTCATTTAGTTGGTTATTCATCAAAACTTTATTTTCAGCCATAGTTTTATTATAGCATTCCTAATAAATGCACATTCTCAACATAAGTTCGGCCACCCAATGAATAATTTTCAACTCCACCAGCATTGCACTATAATATGTTAAGCAAAGGCCAATGGGGTAGACTTTGAGAAAACAACAGAATTCACATACGCAAAAATGCTGAGACTTTTACACCATCAGTCTATCACCAAGCACTAATTGAGACAACAGCCAAGACTCGAGCACCTAATTCAAACCCAATTATGCCATTATTTAGTGGTATCCAAGAAAATAATTAGGAGACATAATTAAGGTAAATACAGAATAAATTCAGCCATCAAACAATACGAATTCCATAACACAAATTTCAAATAGTAAAGCAATCAAGTAGCAAGTTCCACTAACTGAATTGAAAGCCACAATTGGACGGTAAAAAAGTGCAGCTAGTAATTTCCATCTATCCTATGACGTATATTTTTCTTCACTCAGTAGTTCCAATAAACTCCACATTTTCTACTTTATCCCAAGTATGATTACAATAAGAATGCTTTCTTCATATAATTTATTTGCAAATTGAATTAGGTAACTTTTATTTTTTAAAAAAAACTTATTTAACTTTAAATAAGTGAAAATAATGTGACTAGAAGTCTAGAATAGGGCCAAATCTTTACAAATTACATTTTAAATAGTTTTAATTAAAAATTAAAAATTAAAAAATAAAAAATAAAATATAAAATTATAGTATCCTTATTGTTTTGGTGTTTTTGGAGTTTGTAAATTATTAAATACGAAAAAACATTTAAGTTATCGAAAAAAGAAAGATATAACTTAAAACAAAAGATTTAGATTACTCTGGCTTTTAAAGCTTGATTAACAGCCCTCTGTTTATATGAAAGATCAGCTATGCTTTTCAAGCTTTTACCGACCAAGATCAAAGCAAAGAGTTAATTCTTTATCTATATCTTCAAGCATGCGTTCTTAATCCAATGAACTTCATTTCCTACAATAAAAAAGATAGTCAATTTTACAATACAATAGTCAAGCAAATCAGGCTGTATACAACCGCCCACTATCCAATTAACCTTAGTGGTTCTAGAAAAAACAAATTATAAAAGATAAAGTAGCTAATCATAACAAATGAATATGGCATACAGTGATAAAATTATCTCCAACTTGCTACGCAATGATAAAATTATCTCCAACTTGCTACGCAATGATAAAATCACTACTTGAGAATTACCAACTTCATTTAAGGGATTACTGTAAGACATATATTAAAATCATTCAACGTGTTACTACGAATATGTACTCCCTCTACCCCAATTTGATTATCACGTTTGATTTTCATACTTTACAACGGCTCAACACACAAATTTTCTCATCATCATAGTTAAAAAATTTCAAGTACGAATTAAAAAAGAATAGACACATCAAAACGACTCTAATATCACAAATATACCTATGCATTTATATATTAGTGAACGGTTAAAGTTATTATATGAATAGTACAAAAGCTAGTGTAGCGGTTAAATTGGGATGGAGGGAGTACGTCACCATAACCAATTAGCCGTGTGCTACCACTACAACAATTTTCTACCAAGGATTGGATTGTCTTGCCTTACTCCTACCTTGCTAACCAGCCAAAAGAAGTAAAAACAGAGTTTTATTATGTTGTTTAAGTCACTTTCAAGATAATGACAATAGAGCACATTGTTGCACAACTTATAAATTTAGTGTTTTTTAATGGGATAATCCTGTCTCAACTCTCAATCAAGTCACAATCACTTCACAAAAAGTGAACAATAAACAAAGTTTTTAGTCCAACTCAAAATCAACCAAATCAAGAAGTGGGGTCATAGAAATCAGACATAAAGCTCTTAGCCACTGGCCTTTAAATTTGTAAATTCCATAACATAATCCTTTGATAGTTCACTGAAAATAGTTCTCATTCTCATATCAATCTCTAAAATATCCATACTTAAAAGCCATTCAGTCATGGGGAATTGCTTAAGATCACAAGGAAAACTAGTACAGGTTGCGAAACCCGATGGTAAGATACTCGAATACAAAGCATCCATGAGAGTAATCGACGTGCTGTCAGAATTCCAGGGACATGGACTGTCAGATAATCTTCCAGTCCTGCAATATATGAAGCCGAATATCGAATTGATGGCAGGTCACCTATACTATCTTATACCTCTTCCAGTTCAATCTCCAAAGGTTAAAAAGAAGGTAAGTTTTGCTGAACCAGAAAAAGTGGAAGAAAGTAAGAGCAAAGACACAAGTTTAACCATAAAGTTGGTTATCAGCAAGCAAGAGCTGAAGGAGATGCTAGAAAAAGGAGCTGTCTCACTGGATGAACTAGTTTCAAAGCCACAGAATGATAGGTGTCGGACTGAGAAGCTCGATGAGCAGAGCTATGGAAGCAAGACATGGATGCCTTCTTTAAAAAGCATACATGAAGTAGACTAATACAAACTGTTTCCATATATTTTGTTTCAACACCATACAATCTAACATATCAATACAAAACATTCTGTTAGCTAGTATTCTTACTCTCAAGTGTTGCTCTTTTGTCTTTTTTGTTGATTGTCCAAACATTTATTAGCTACATGCCTACAGCATCCAATACAATCATCTACGTTGCATGAAAACAGATACAGGAGACTGGGGAAGATTAATGATTTCCATACAGCACGTAAACACAAAAACTAAACAATAAATAATTTTTTTTGTTTGCACATCTAATTTTTTTTTTTTTAAACTGTAACTAAACAAAATAATTAAAAGGGTAATAAAAACTAGTTTAGTTTACTCTTAGGATATTAAAAAAAATAAAATAAAATAAATAAATAAATAAAATTGTGATCCATTGTTGAGGGGAAAAACTTGCAGGAAATTGAAAAGTTAAGATTCTTAGCTTCAAAAACAGAACACGTGACCTTCACACAAGTTTCTTATTGTGTCAAGGCAGGTCATGTAACTAGTAACACTAACACAGATTTAACAAAACTAGTACAAATAAAGCTGCAGTTCAGAGCTTCAGACCTGTTATGGAGGCAATAGTGTACTTGAAGAAGAAGTTGTCTGCGTTGACCATAGATCTTCATTAAGCAAGTCTAGTTCAGGCACAGAAAATCAAAGTTAAAAGTGAAAAGAGAATGTCATAACTCGGGTAGGGTGATGTATGTAAAAATACTCCTAATTGGTCCGGCTATGTTGGTGCTAGAGGGCATGGCTGTCAACATCTCCAGGACAGACTAACCTTCTAATCAACTCTTCTTATCTTCTTTTTATATTCCTTAATCTCTAATTCTCTTATCCATGATAACCTCTTGCTTTGATTATTACTTCAGCACCTACCTGTTCCTCTCAAACTTAACTTTACCAACTAGATTTTACGAAATGTTTGAAAAGTCGGGTTTAACCTAGCGAATAACAAGCTTATCAGGACTAGGAGGACAATCTATAATCAATAGCACAAATAAATCTAGTCTAGCCTTAACCAGCTTACACATTCTAAAGATCCGAAACAAAATTAATCCGACTCTTTGAGGAAAGATCATGTACATCTACACTACCCACAAATCATGCGAATAATGAAATCCACTATAGATGGTGGTAATTGTTGATGCATAGATCCCAAAGGAGAGAGTGTATAAACCATATGATCCCAACTCGATGCAATGCATTTTTACAAGATCATTCCAGTTATTATATTAAGGAGAAATGTCAGTTAAAAAGAATTACTATTATTTATATGTTCAATTCTAGGTAAGAACTCTGCAGTTTATGCAGAAAATCCAAGAAAGAATCACCTACTGATCTCTTTTCAAAGGCTTTAATCTCTTCGACAACAGAAATAAATGAATAACACCATAACATAACACACATGAAACAAGTACTTCTCATCATATGCAATCTACATCCTTGCAAAGAGGCAAATTGCAGTATTTCACCATACCCTTGGCCTGGAAAAGTATCAACTAACACGATACTTCAAAAGAAGCAAGTACAGTTAAGTCAAAGGTTTGATCAAGTCCATTACAATCAAAGACAAAAAAACAAAAGGTCTCTCTAGCAATGGCATGTTCAACTCCTGCGAAAATGGATGGTTAATATGTTTAAGTTACAACAGATACTACTTTCATAGTCAAAAAATAGATATCACTACCAGCACCATGATATATTGGTGGTTGACCAGGCAAATTTACTAGGTAGAACTATGATTCCCACCACACTCCTCATAATAGCAACCTCAGAAAAAATTGGTTAAAGTAGTAGTTGCTTCTTACATATTGCATGATAATCATTTTAACTTGGGGCCTTGAAGTAATACAGGGGTTTGACATGTTCAAATACTGATCATCACATATAGGCAACTAGTTTCTCTCTTTTATTTCTCCTGAATTTTCTTTTCTATCTTACAAATCATTCACCTTTTGATTCCACATCATCTTGAGTTTTATATTCATTCAATACTCCATAATTAAACCCACTACTAGATTCAATAAATTAATACCATGACATTTAACATGATTATAATTTTCTGCATTGAATAGTAAATATAGAATGGTTCTTAAATTAAACTGAAATGACAAAAATGTGATAAGATGGAAAGATTATTAAAAAATGCAAAAAAAAAGAAAAAGAAAAAAGTGGAACATCTTTCAACCCCATTGGCACCAAAAGAATTATGCTTATCTGCCAGCAATGAAAGAAAAGAAGACCGGCAAAGAAATGAGAAAGCAAACCCAAACAATGGTGAACATGAACCTAAAGTAATCTGCAACTATAAGCAAATATAGTGCTTGTTTGGTTTATGTAATGTAAACATGGAAACAAAACTAATTAAGGAAACAAAAATAATTGAAGATCCCATAAAATCACTTCCTAGGAAGTTATAGTTCCCCCTAGAATGAAGTCAAACTTCTTGCAGGGTGTTTTACTTCCCATGATTAACCAAACAACTTTTATCATTAGAATGAAATCATATTGAAAAAATCAACTTTCTATGAAGTACTATGTTCAAGCAAAAGATCATGAACATAGGAGCCTTTGGAAGTAATACTTCCTAAGAAGTTGATTTTCCTAAGTAGTTCCAATTCCTAGGAAGGGTAAAAAGTTGTTTGATCAATCATGAGAAATACTACTTCCCACATAAAAAGTTCAACTTGGCAAGAGGTAAGCAATTTCTCCCATTTAATGAAAAGTAATACTAACTCATAATATTTTCGTCAACTAAGCTACTCCATAATTTCCACTTTCCAAGGGTGTTTTATTTTATTTATTTTAATTTTTTTTTTTTTTTTTTTTTTTTTTTGTCGGCCAAGAAAGTACTTGCAATCATCAGGAAGCCTCAATCCTATCAAAGTGCTTAAGAGTAGGGGACTGATGTTTTTAATTCAAAAAAGAGGAGAAATTTTCCAAAGAAACCATTTTTTTTTATCTGAATCATAGTCTGTGGTATTCAAAACATCTGTTACTGCAAACCTTAAAGAGTAGGGAATTGAATTCAAACTGTAATTGATATGAAATTGAAAGGACCGGATTAAGCAGAAGCTGAACAAACATATCTGAAACAGGTGCTAACCTTCAGAGTGCTTTTCTGAAACGACAGAAGAAACTGACGGTAAACTTTGGGAGCAAACAATAATTGAAATGGCCTTCTGCATGGTAAACATATTAGGAATCACACATCTAATTGTTCTCTTTGCATTTCAAGCAAACTCGGCATATTGCGGCTCAAATATAATCCTACAACTTTAGTAAAAACACACCTACACAACCACTCCACAATGTAACTATGACCCAAGTCACAAGAGCCACCTCTAAGTACGACAGATAACTAGCACCAGATAATGCCCAAAATTTATTGCAAAGCCCGAAATTATATTTCAAATGATATTCACATCGTTTGAAAGAGTTTAACACTCACAAGATGGTACACTTTTTTTTCCAAGGTGATAGGGTAATAGTTGTAAATTGACAACAGACAGGAAAAACTGAAAAAGAAAAATATATAAATAAATTATATTACAAGATAATTGTATATATACACATTCAAAGGATCTAAGCACACTCTTACATCATTTTGTTCTTCATCAAGTCATTGACTATAATCTGGTGCTGCTCCATTCAAGGAATCCGTATGAGCTGTTAAGAACTAGTGTTCCTCCTTTCAACTTCTAGAGAAATTTCATTACGGCGAGTAAATGGAAGTGTGAATGGTGGGTTATACTGCAAAAATAAAACCTTGTTAAATTCAAAGCAACACTTGGAAAAACTCTGCTTATGAAAAAATGAATATTTTTGCCCCAACATTCTACCTCTACTTTATTCACTTGATTAGAAATAGAATGTATTACCTATCTGAGAAGAAAGTAGGGGTCAAAAATTTAATAATTCTACCAAATCACTTTCAGAAACCCTATGGTATTACCTGTGCAACTTCTACTTCAGCTCCCACTTTTACTTTAAACTCCAAGTCATTCTTCAGAGCATCTCTCAATTTTGACTCTCGTTGTTTGACCTCTTCATCAGTGACATTACCTAGTTTCCAATTATAAGATTACAACAAATTATTAAGAGCAAGTTTACCATGAGTAGAAGAATATCAAACATTAGGCTATATGATGCAAATAAGCAAGCATTGCACAGAGAATCAAACAATAAGAAATATAATCTTAGATATCAGAGAAACAACCAAGCTGATAGAATCTTATCAAGAAAATATAGTCATACCAACATCCGGTGAGCAACTTTTAAGCACACTCAAAAGTATAAAATCTTTTCTAGTCACCCTAGAGTAAAGGTTCTGAGCTTTTTCACAATTTAACATCCCATACTCAGAGGATTTTTCTGGGAATATTCTTCTATAACAATCAATGCTATTCTTCATGTGTAAGATGTGTTCTTTCTAACCTGTACTACCTATAGTGTAATAGTTGTCCATACAACAACAACAACAACAACAACAATAATAATAATAATAATAATAATAATAATAATAATAATAATAATAATAATAATAATAATAATAATAATAATAATAATAATACTCGGATAAGAGTTAAAAGAAAATGTATATGGATGTATACTTCAAAAATATGATGCAGCTGGATTGCACAATAGCATTTTCTGGTATGTCATCTTCCGGGCTGCATGCAGGTTGTTTGTGTAGCATACAATACTTGAAATCAATCACAACTATATACTAAGCACAATCCTGTTTAGTATAAGTAACACTACTTATTTGTAGATAAATATTTCCATGTGTTCAGATATCCTTTTTAAGCCATGTTATTTTCCATATGTTTAGTAAAGCTGCCAATGGCCAATTATCAAACATATTATCCACCGGTATTTTTTGCAGATTTAAGTTCAGAGTCAAAATCAGTAATGATTTTTTTCCCTCCATTTCTCCTCATAGAATAATAAGAGGACAAACCTGAGAAGGCAGCAACTGCAAC